TCATGCTCAGTCAAAAAAAAAATTGCACAAAATCAGCTATGAGTTCAAAAAAGAACATTTTTCATCCTTGTCAGTGCCATTAAGGCTGTTCAAAAGTCTGCTGCACCTGCTGTTCTGCAGCTGTGAAAACATATTGTGATTTTAGTTCTTTCTTTCCTTTCCTTATCATCACTTGTTCATATCACAGCCCTCACAATACTTAAGTTTCCAAACGTCCTGTACAATGCAGTCAAGTCTGAACACCGAAAAAGGCAAACTTAGAGGCAGATAGAGCAAGACGTGTTGCTCTCTTCCTAAGCACAAAAACAGATTTGAAATGTGCCCTGATCCAGCAGGTGTGGGAGAGCCAAATGTCAAGAGGAGGCTTGCTTATTCAGTTTCAAATAAAGGACAGATCTGCTTATGCAAAGTGATGAGAAGAAGCCCATTCAAGCAAAAATGCTCTACAGACATGCACCTCTTGATGCAAATGGAGCTAGATGAAGCACACGAGTTTCAACGGATTAGTCAACTAAATCTGCGTGAGTCTGCAGGTGAACTAAAACAATATTTCTGGGGAAAGTGTGTATGCTGCTTATAGATGATGCATCCTGATTTTTAAGACAGGCATCATTCCAGAAAAGGCACCCCCTTCCAGCATATGACAGAAGAAAATGTATCTGATATCCATTAATCCACACACAATTACATAATTCTGTTGCTCAATGAACTGGATACTTTTTTTTTAATCAACTAAGTATGTGTGTCATAATTTTGGAAATAAATTTCTTTTTATAAAAGCTTGGATTTTTTGTGCAAAAACTCAATGGGACCAAAAAAAAAAAAAAGTGGACCAGATTGGGGGTGGGAGTAGAAGAGAAATCTCACAGAAGCTGGCCCCTTGTGACCTTTTAGATGAGCATGATAACAAATAGTGGTATCACTTTTTGGATTTTCCATTTCTATTTCTATTGTAGGTCTCTTAGCCACATGCCTTCCTAGCAACTGCAAAGCCGAACTCAGGACTTCTTTACTCCCCCCGCAACTAAAATGACACTCAGGTTTTCAGAACCCTGACAGGACTGTGTGCAGCACAAAGGTGTCCCAGTGGGCTGGCTGCATGCTTATTTCATCCTAGCGAAAAGTGGTTTGCAATGTATAAAGTGAGAGCGAGTTTCAGAATTCCACCTTAACCCCAGGTGGCTTTCCCTGGAAAGCAAATGATGGAATAAAAACAGGGGGACAGACCTCTTTTCTTCTTCTCGTTTTCTTTTGGAATGCAACATCCCCAAAGAAAAGTACGTTTTTGTGGTTAATTACCTACGATCAAGTAAATAAAAAATAAAAATACCCCGGATGTGTATTTCAAACAACTTTGCCATTCATTCACACAATATCTTTACTCCCTCTTTTTTGTTACTTGACACACACACACACACACACACCCCGCCGCCGCTTGTACATTCCCCTTTACTGAATCAAAACAGCAATTTCAAAAGCTCCAGATATCTACGCCCCATTTCCCACCTCCTTTGGAGGTCGAATTAATTTTGTGACTTCAATGCAAAGGCAAAATATGGCACAAAAAGAATGGATATTAAATTAAAAAAACAAAAAAACAACAACTTATAAATATTATTCCGCTGTACAATTTTCACAGCCCTGGCCCCACCCGTTTTTATTCACATTTTTAAAGTTCCCACCCCATTTTTTTAGATCATAAAATATATATTTAAAAATCTGTGTTCATATTTAAAATATATTTACAGGAAAAAGATAAGTTCCTTCTGCTGAAATCATGAAGAGTCTGTACAAGGGGAAGGGGGAGGCGGGTAGAGGTGGAAGTAACTTCGCTCTGTGGCGGGAGACGGCGGGCAGCTCTCTTCCGCTGACATGTACTGGCTGCGAGGGGTAGGAGGAGGGGGGTAAGGGTCTGAGTCTGAATTTAGGTCTATGTAGTATTTATTGGCTTTCCACCGGCTCGTGGTGTAGTCACTGTCACAGACATCAGTGCTGCACGGCGTAGTTGGTGGAGCTATCCCCCGTATAAGATAGGGCCTGAAAGAGAAAATCAAAGTTAGCTGCATAGTAAAAAAATATGCTCCATAGCAGGAAAAGGAGTTATTCTTCCTCTTTATCTGCATCAAGATGGTCAGCTGAAGGAGTCAGCTGTGATAGTGGGTTTTATTTGCATGTCACATTGCCATAGTTAGAAATAAACTGTGGTCATGGCGCGAGAGAAACAAACCAGAGGCTTCCTCTTTCTCTCAAACCACAGGTGCTAAGCCAAGTATAAACCTTGCCTGTTCAAACCTTCTGCTCATAATCTGTTTGGAGGGAAACAGACTGTGCGTGCCAGTTTGCACATATTGCCCAGCCAGCCCTTTAGTTTGCCTCGGTCCTGTATACCTGAAGGAGTGTCTCCACCCCCATCATTCAGCCCGGACACTGAGGTCCAGCTCCGAGGGCCTTCTGGTCGTTCCCTCATTGCGAGAAGTGAGGCTACAGGGAACCAGACAGAGGGCCTTCTCCGTAGTGACGCCCGCCCTGTGGAACGCCCTCCCATCAAGGAAATAAGCAGCTATCCTATTTTTAAATGACATCTGAAGGCAGCCCTGTTTAGGGAAGTTTTTAATATTTAATGCTGTATTGTTTTTAACCCTCGATTGGGAGCCGCCCAGAGTGGCTGGGGAAACGCTTGGTAAAGAAAAGTTTGAGAAGCCCCAGTGTAGGTCACGGAAAGCATTGGAGCCAACTCCTAGGGGCTGTGGGAGCTTTGGCCCCCACAAAGTTGATGGGCATTCCCATTCAAATGGTGTGTGTGCACTGCACCATGTGATCGATTATGTGGGGCGGGGCTTACCTGGGCCCCCACAATATTCTATTCAAGTTGGCACACCTGATGGAAAGGACGTTACTCCTAAGGGCAGAGTTGTGGGTATAGCCAGGCCAAGGCTAAAACACTTCATTCTTGGTAGCCTGTTTTCAGTATACCTGTAAACAGGCCTAGATCCCAATTCTGGGATCCTGACAATTAAAATGTAATAAGGTGACAGCTAAAGCATATGCATTAGAGAGAGAAAAATAAATTCAATACTATAACAAAAGGTGATTCATGTTAAACCTAAGAGTAGATTGGAAACTGAATGAGGGAAGAGCCTTTCAAGCTTTTGAAGGCTGAACTTTGAGGAAGTTCATTCTGGTTCACTGACATCACCTTGCTGTGAAGAATTCAAAAGGGAGCTTACCTGTAAGATCTTGTTGTTGAAGGAATGTTTGAAGAATAGAACATTTCTGTGTTATAGAGGGAGCGATCAGTGGCTGGTGAAGGCGGTGGATTCAGAATCTGTGGAAGGATAAAATAAGTATTTTTCTTTGTCCAAGTCATGCTACCAACAGAAATCACCCTGGCTCTTGTGTACAAAGGTTCACAAAAACTGTTTTTCACAAAGTTGCCTCGCGTAGCCTTGATAACGGGAGTACAAAGGTTGTATGAGTCTGCTCTAAATCCTTACTTCTTATTAGAATGACAGAACCATGTTATTAACACGCATCAATTGTTTCTGACTGTAAACTTAAACATGTACTGTCCTAGAAACCACTAACTTTGTTGCTAATAGATTGACTAGTAAACTGCTTACCTTCCCTGGCAGCAATTCCCTGGGCCTCAAAGAAACATTTTGTTAACTGGAAAAACAACGCATTTAACGTTGAACCTTCTGTATGCACAGCAAGTGGTTTTGAAACTGTCCATTCCTTATGAACTGCTATTTTTCATTGTTTTGGTTATGTTTTGGACTTCTTCATAGGTTGCTGGAAATTCTGATTGATCAATACATCTTTTTACAAATTTTAACAATACAGTACCTGGTCTATTTAAGAATCCCTCTACCCTTTTCATTTCCAACTGGTCTTAGCCATATAGCTTTTTAAAATGCAAATTGTGGCTGAAATTTCTTCAAGGGATTAGTATGGACATACCCTTCCCGTTTTTAAAATGGTTTTTTCTTCTGTTCTTTAGCTCATTTGTTTGCCAGAGTCTTACACACAGACTTCACTTGCTTTCTCAAATTTCTCTCTTATAAACCTAAAGGCATTTGCATCCTAAAACTGCTTTTAAAAAAAGTTTCTTTAAAATTTGTGACTTCTAAAAATGGTAAGGGTTTCTGCTGCTCTTCCTTTGGATGATCTTAAAAAGGTAGCCTCCAGTCATTGCTTTCCCCATTTATAAAGGGCAGAAAGAAGAGTTTGGCCACTTGCCATTCATTGCTTCTGCCCTGCAGGAAAATGTCATAAAGTCACTCAGTCCATCCTAGCATTGACAAGAGCGACTTGGATTGACTTGCTCAAGGTCACAAGAGCCAGAAGCAGAATGAAGAAGCAGCTTGTAACGTCCAGTTTGACCCTGAGTTGCCATGAATAGCTGGGACAAGGGCACAGCTGACTGAGGATTTGTGGGGCAGGGCAGTCCCCTTACGACGGCTTCTGAAGCATACAACAGAATCAATTGACTGTGCTGGACCAACCAGTCAAGTCTGCTCTCTCTTGGATTCATCACAGTCGTTTCTTCCATCCTCTTGCTTTCTCTATAACAATGGCTGTTTTTTCATTTATGAGAAGAGGATTCAAAGGATTTGGGTCAGTTCACAGAGATCCAAGACAAAAATCAATGCAAATAAACAGCAGGGGAATCGTTTGACTTCTGAGACTCCCCATCATCTCTGACCCATCTCTCTCTCTCTCTCTCTCTCTCTCTCTCTCTCTCTCTCTCTCTCTGTGTGTGTGTGTGTGTGTGTGTGTTTGTTCTCACTTTGGCACACGCCTGTGGGACGACACTGTGCTGCTAACTGCCTTACTAGGTCTGCAGCCTCGAAAGTTCACAAGGAACAGAATGATTACACTTAGGTAGGGGGTGGGGGAGATACAAAACCGCAGACACTCAGAGGAATGTTCTCAAAGGTCATTATCTGGACAAAAAAATGTGTGCTATAAAATCTAACACTCTGTTTACTCATTACCAGGCTCAGTGATCATCCTGACTTCTCTGGGATTTTTTCTGAAGAGAAAAGCCTCATTATTGCTCAGTGAATTGAAGAAGAGAATGCCAGACACCTTCAGAGGACATTAGGCTGGCCTGCAACTCATAGCCAGCAACTTGGAAGGGTTTTTTTAAAAAATAAAAACAAACAAACCAGCTCATTCCTAACAGCAGAGGCTTATTTCTGAGTCATAAATGTGGAGATAGGGGCACAAAACAGGAAAATAGCATTTTCAAACCTTACCTGTGGGTAGAAGGTGGCTTTAGTGCTGGATGAGCTACTAGAGGAGGCCCCGGTTACGTGGTTTCTGTCATAAAGAGGGGCACCGCTACTTCCCCCCATCAGGCTCATGGAGCTGATCATAGATTTTCCACAAGAGATGCCTATACGGATGTAAGGGGAAGAAATGGAACAAAGGTCAAGTTGTCTAGCTCTTCTACACAGTTAAATCAAAGCAGTCCTTGAGATCCTTCGTACAGTGGTGCCCCGCAAGACGAATGCCTCGCAAGACGGAAAACCCGCTAGACGAAAAGGTTTTCCGTTTTGGAGGTGCTTCGCAAAACGAATTTCCTATGGGCTTGCTTCGCAAGACGAAAATGTCTTGCGAGTTCCTGCAGGTTTCCCCCCCCCCTTTTCCCCAAGCCGCTAAACCGCTTAACAGCTGATCCGCTAAGCCGCTAAACAGCTGATCGCTAAGCCGCTTATCAGCTGATCCGCTAAGCCGCTTAACAGCTGATCTGCTAAGCCGCTTATCAGCTGATCCGCTAAGCCTGCTAAGCCGCTAATAGCGCTAATCCGCTAATGGGCTTGCTTTGCAAGACGAAAAAACCGCAAGACGAAGAGAATCGCGGAACGGATTCTTTTCGTCTTGTGAGGCACCACTGTATACAAATGTTGCGCAACACTCTTCTCCTTTTACTACAAAGCTCCATTTCTATTTTTTAATGTAATGGACTATCGGAGAATGCCCTAAGCCTGGGGCCTGTAGGTGGTCCTCTGGGCTATCTGGTCCTCGGGATGCTTCCCAGGCCATGCCCCCTCTCCTCAGGCCACGCCCCTACTCCACACCACCCTCATTTGCTTTTGCATTGCTGGAATCAGAGTGCCGGCTTGCCCCTGCGATCGAGGGGTCTGGGAACCAGGCGATGTGCGCATACCATGCGCACCTGCTGCGGAGCGTGCCAACATCACCAATGACACTAAATGCCCGACTTCTGGATGATGCAAGACAGGCGCCTGTAACATGCGCAGTAGCTAATGTACTCCAATATAACACAATGGGCACAATACGATGGTGATCACGCAGCATCATTCAATTGCTATTTGACACATTGAGAAGCTTAGGGGATGGGGGTGGGTGAACAAGGAAGATAACAATGAGGTACAGGGAATTTACCATCCTTACCAGTGAATGTGCCATGCTGAGAACTCCCTGGAGCAATAAAATTTAAAGGGACATGAGGAGTGCCACTGACGTATTCATGTGGGAAAGGTCCATTGGGTCCAGCATAGCGCTGACATACCACTCGCTGGCAAACGAAGTACATTGATCCCATAACGAAAAGGGTAAGAATGATACCAATGACAGGTCCAATAGCACTGCTGTGGGGCTGTGACTCATCGGGAGGCGATTTACTTTTTGCTGTAAAAAACAAAACAAGAAGTTAATTAATTAAAATTAGATGTAAATGCTCTGAAAGGAAGCTAGATGACAGCATATTCATAAATATATATTTCACCCCATTTCCTCACAACATATATATTAGCAGTGTCACTCAGTCATGTTGTTTGATAGGACCATGGATGTTTACATTCGGATCTACTTTTCAAATTATGAAGGACACCCACAGAGAAGCTCGGTTGACATAGTTTGAGAGTGTACATACTTTCCTCTTCTAAGGCTTTCCCTTATTCAACTCTCAATACTGCTAAGTTCTCAGTCTGAACCCAAAGTCAACGAAACAGTGAGTGCAATTCAGGAAAGTTAAGGAGACCAAGATTTTATACAGTGCCAATAGGACAACAGCTGTGAGAGGGTGAGCAGGAAACTATGGGTTGGGGTGAAAGAGGACCATATCAGAGCATCCTCAAATTCAGATGCATAGAGATACAACTCTCTCCCGTTTGCCCTAAAACTTGCCTGCCAATTTCTGTCTGGAAAAGCTGTGCTGTAATAATGAGAACCAGAAGTACCCTTCCCTGGGTGAGGTATAAAAATTCTTCCCCGCAGCTTGTATTCCCTAATTCATCATACTGCTTGTCTCCCCCCCCCCCCATCACCGAATCAGTCCCCAAACTTAGGGCTGAAACAAATCTTCTATCTTTGTGCTGAGGCAAGATGATGTGTGATGCTCATTTAGTTGTAGCCTTTCAGTAGAGACACCCCTTTTCGCTTTAATGGTTGACAGCTGTGTGCTGCCGTTTAAAATTTCCCACAGTGCCTCAGAACACCTAGCTTCTAGATTCCTGCTGCTGCTGCCAGGCATATTCACATCTCTTTTTGGGGGGCGGGGGGTGTTAGGCAACATAGAAGGGGACTGATGGAGGATGCTATGTCAACCCCCCCCCCAAAAAAAAACCCTGTGAAGCTGACCTGAGAATACCACTCAGCAGCTCCTAAATTCTGGACCTGCTGGAAGGCATGATAATAATAAAAAAATCACACGTGTGTTCTATTAGCAACAGCTTCTGTAGCCTTTTTCAATATGTAAAGGGGCTTAACATTTTTAATATCATTTTATCCATCCATGCGGTAGGTGAGGATGAAAATTTGTGATGGGCTCATGGTCATCCAGCGAGCCTTATGGTCCAGCAAATAAATATTTATTTTTAAGGCTAGCAAATCATCTGAAGCATTTCCTCATACAGGCCCAATTATTTTAGTTCACATAAGGTGACTTCTGCTGCAGTTTAAAGTTGTTAACTACAGCCACTGAAACAGAGAACAGCCCCTTTATTCTCCCTGTTCAATTCCCCTTATAAGCCTTTTGCGATTATCTCAGTGCTGCTATCTGTGGTCTTTTCCTCACATGGGTCCCAGGGCTCGGAGAACAGAATTATCAGACTATCTACATTCAAAAAGCCTCTCAAAGAACTTATGTTTAATATAAACCATGCAGGGACTGAAGCCAATTTGAGCAGCCACCAAAGGCTCAGACAAAAATAATTGCATCCGCTTTGGCCTTTTGATAATTGCTGTTGGGCTACATTTTGTTGGGGGCCTGACTACAGCACAGTAGTTCCTTGACAGGATGCGGATTGGGCTAGGGTTTACTGCTGTTTTTAAACAAGACAGATTTCTGAACATTGCAGGGTACTGTTAAAGGATATTACATTTTTAAGTGTACGCACACAGAGCTGTGAGAAGCATCTGGCTCCAACCCAGTAGTAAAAGAACTGGGTTTACATTCTTAGACCCAGGGGGCAACCTCTCACAGGGACATTAAAGAACTAGATGCAAAAAGCCCCTTACCGCATGCAAGTTCATCAGAGCCATCATTGCAGTCTGGAAAGGAGTCACATTGCTGCTTTATGAGAATGCACTGGCCACTGGCACATCGAAACTGATTTGGGAGACAAATTGCTGCAAGGGGGCAGGGGAAAGAACAGTGGAGGAAACTTGTATCATTCTCAGCTCAAATAAAATGATGAACAGATCATTACCATGAAGCCAGACAACAGTTTTTAAGCACCTCCAAACTGCACAAATGTACATTTTATTTATAGGAATGAAACATGCTTCACTGTCAAGTTCTAAGGAGAAAAATGGTTAACAACCTGCTGTTCAGAGTCTGCATTGTGCCGACGTGTGAGGGCTACACCTCAGCTGACATGGACAACCAATGAAATATGGCTGCAGTTTGAACACCCTATGACATGTGACTCAAAGTGGCATGGGAGGCAAAGCTGCCACTGACAAAACACTGATAGATGCGCTAAACTCCTATAACAGCCAAGTATGGCTTCAAAGAATTACTTCCACTTCCTGTTTGCCTGCTATCACTGTTGTTCCCAGAAATGCCCAGAAGTGCCTTTAGTCAGCTAGCTAAAAGATTAAGGTAACAGGTCTTACTTTCACAATCAGCTTCATCAGATTTATCTTGGCAATCAATTTCTCCATTACATCTCAGACGTGCATCAATGCACTGCCCTTTCTCACACTGGAACTGGGAAGCTGAACAAATTGGGCAGCTGTCTTCATCACTCTGATCATCACATTCAGGAAACCCATCACATCGCCATGCCATGGGGATGCAGTCTATCTCCCCAGTTGCACAGGTAAACTGGTCTGGAGAACATGTGGGAGGCTCTGGGGAAGGGAATTAAAAACAAAACATCATCAAATTCTTTTCAAGTCTTCCAAGAGATTAAACCAATTTAAAACACTTTAAAGCAATTTAAAGCATTTAACCACACAAACAAAATCTTGTATTAGATTTTGAAACAGCATCAAGGCTCTTATAGGGAAGGGGGAGAAAATTCAATCAAATTCAGTGCTTAAAAATTAAATTATTATTAGTATAAGCACCGTGTTTGAATTCTAAGAATGTAGTTAATGTAGGGACTCATGAATTAGGAAGCCTCAGGAAATAAAACGGCAACAAAGATTTGCCACTCACAAGACCACAAACATTTGTAGCCAATGCAAATGTAGATTGGTTCTTCCCCCTTACTTTCTATGCTTGTCCTAGTAGAGATGTTTGCCCTTCACAGTGTTATAATGCAAATGAAAGCAGATCAAAAATATGAAGAAGAAGAAAAATCTTTGAAAAAAGGCAGTAGATAATATCAAGCTATTATTGCAAGATGAGGCTGGCTCTGTGTTTAAAATTACAGCATCCAGGACACAGAACAAGATCAGAGTAAAACGATTAGGAAAGAATAGGCGAAGACATGGATTTATTGCAATCAAAGCAAAATGCAACATGGCAATAGGAGGAAAGGCTCTGGAAACCTCTTGGAAGTTGAGAAACATAGGCAAAATAGACTCTCTTTCTTCATTTGCAGAATAGATACAAAAACTCCGGTACCACAGACCATGTTGTGGTCATGAGACAGAAATTGTTTATAAGGGAAATTACTCTCCCTGGGGAGCTCATAGTCCTAGCAAATATGCCATTTAAGAGAAACAAGCATTCCAAAGTAAACTTAAGAAGAGAAGTAGTAAGCTGAAATGCTGGAGAAGATTCTTTCCTTAAGAGATGAGATGCTCATTTCTCCAGAAAACACAACCATAAATAAATATACATAT